AATAGTAGAATTTATTAGGTAACTTGTAATAATATCAATTTTGACATGTTTCTTTAAAAATTATTTCAAGTTTCTTAATTATTACAATTAAATTTGTAATATCAACTAAAATAATTAGTAAATTTATTTCTGCTGAGATTTTATTTTTACAAATTATAACTTATTATTTTCGCTTACAAAGCAACGGGCCAGTGAGATAAATTGTAAATATCGCTTTAATATTTAGGTAAATTTTCGTTTTCCATTTACTCCGTGTACCATTACCATCTGAATTAATTTTATTACTGTCAAATATTAAAGGCCCGCTTCTTCTCATGAATCTGACGCAGTTATTAATGACGTAATAATACAAAGACAACTTTCTATACGATAAAATTGGTAGTCACTACTTAAAAAATCGCCCACAAATAATAATAAAATTTATTACGTAATATTATGCTACCATTAGTAGCTAGGTAAGTAGGTACCGTATGTTAAAAAAATTAAATTAATTCTTTTGTCGACACAAAACGTCTTGAAGACGACCGGTTTTACGTCTATATTCGAGCCTATTCGAAGTTAATTTAGAATAATTATTTTCGTCAAACGAGAACTCCTCCAAGCCAATTTGTTTTGGCATTTGAAACGGTCGAAGACAACGTGCTGTCTTTGTTTGGCGTGATTTACAAACATTAAATTGCAGTTTATTATATTTATGTACTCCTACTTGTGACGAGTGAGATTGATGGTTTGCTATCTTACTATATGATACGGGAAACGGGATTCTTGAAACCAACTAGGATGATGCCAGTTGTAAATAATTCGTGAAAATGTTAAAATAAAATCATTGGAAATTTCATTGGCATATCATCCGTAAACAGCCCACATCTACGTGAATGATTTGTAGTAGGCGGGTGGCACATACGTACCTTTGTTCTTATGTCGTATTGGTAATTTTTACGTTTAAGGTAGTGCGGCTGTGGCGGGTGAGTGGGAAAAATTATTTGGATTAAATTTTACGCAATTTTGTTCGGAAAATTCTCCCGAATCCAATGATATGCATGGATTGCCAGGCGGTAACCGAGTCGGGTATTGTTGTAAAGTTAATATTATCCGAGTTATTAATTTTTGAAAGTGAATATTACACGAAAATTGCTATTTTCTATGCTTTAAAAAGTTATTAAAAAATATGTTTTTTA